CATTGTACAGTGCTGGCTGGATAAGCTTTAAGCATTCTATAACAAGCAAAACACAATAAGCTGACTCAAAAACAAGGTAAACCAGTAGGACTTGTGTACACAACAGCCATATGCTAAACACACTGACACACTACAATATGCTGAAATATCCACCAGTGGGATACACATTGTAATTATGTGGTCCAGTTACCAAAGAAAAGTGGTGAGTAATCTTTTAATAAGTATTTATTTTTAATTCTGTTCTCTTTTTGAGTAATTCTCAATCTTAGATATCATGCATCATTTCAGCTTTTTCACAACCTTTTGACAACTATGAGATACATTTAATATGTATGAAAGATGTTAATCCTTGATTAGTGAGTGTAGTGGAGTGCTTTGACATTGGCACTCACCATTTCCTGGCTGCCCCACTCAGAGGCGACCTGAGCATAGTTCCATATGAGCAGTATGACCAGGAACAGAGGCAGCATATAGAACTCCCAGTACCACACGGTGAGCACAAAGATCTGGAGGAGAAGACAGACGACATGAGTGAATGAGTGTACAGACGTTGATTCCCTTTTAGTTCCTCCTTAGCCTTTCTCATAATGAGGCATAATGAGCGTCTTTTCCTGTGACTACGCCTTAGTATATAAAACATCTCTTGCTGACCTTATCACGATCATATATAAAACTCCATGGAGTGGAAGTGGCCTTGCTGTAAAATGAAAGACGACAAACAGTGACTGGATCAGCTATCACAGGTGATGAGTTCATGTTTTCACTGCTGTCTGTACGTGTATGTGTGAACAAACAGAGCCATAGTGGAGTACAATGATGGCAAAAGCAGTGACAACAAACTCTGCAGCCAACTCGCAATTTTGTAATTTCCGGATTTTTTTCTGTGAATAATTACAATGTGACAAGTGATTATATAACTAGCGATGTCACATTTCCATTTCATTTTCTATACGATGCCAGTATGAAAGCTTTGATTATCTGCTGATTCTGATTTCATGTGGAATACTGTTGACAAGTTATGTGAAAGTCACAGGACCAATAATGAGATGCTTTAAGACAACCTAAAATTGAACTTGACTGTTTTACCTTATTAGTTAATGTCCTGTAATCTTCCATTAAATGCCATGACTCTGACCCCCTTTGTCTGATGTTTTTTTTTTTAACCACAAATCATACTACAAATAATATTAGGTCCCTGGAGGACTAGTGGTTAGGCCACAGCACTCTCACCACTGCGGCCCAGGTTCAATTCCTGGCCAGGGTACCAACTCCAGCCACTGGGGTTGCATGCAACAGAGTGTTCTCAGTGCCAGTCCCAAGCCCAGATAAAATTGGGGAGGGTTGTGTCAGGAAGGGCATCCAGCATAAAAACTGTGCCACATCAAATGTGCGGACCAATGATCCACTGTGGCGACCCCTAACGGGAGCAGCCGAAAGAGGAACAACAACATACTACAGATAATATTAACTATTAGGCCACAGTGCTGTTGAATTCTCAAATCTGATTGGTCAGAAGGTGTTGATTAATTTTCTATAGCAGCAGCTCTGACAGTACTGTCTTGTGTAAATCAAATAAATTCACATTAATGCACTTCTGATACATTATCTTCTTATAGTAACATCTTACTCACAGGAACTGGCATGGTAAACAATCTGCATACTCTAAGGCTAATAATGAAACATAATTGTTGATAACGTTAAGTTCTCCATAAGATGTTTATTCAACATTTATTGAAGGAGTCTCCAGTGTCAGGACTTTGTAAGTCACAAGAGAGTCTCAGAACAGAGACTTTACTATTTCCGATTTCTCTGTAATATGACAAGACACATTTTTCTGTCTTATTAACTCCGAGAGAGAAAAATGGAAGAAGGTTATTTCTGCTTCACAATGATGTTGGACTCACCACAAATGCAAAGATACTCCGCTGGACACTCTCCCACTGGAAACAGCTCTTGATATAGTGCAAGATTTGGCTCAACATTCTATAGATGTTCCTCACACGGAGAACATTTCTTGCCAGGACCTAACAGAAATGAGAGGTTTGTAAAGTGCTGACAGACCAAAACCCTACAGTGTGATGGCCTCAATGATATTTACTATTGCACCTTTTTGGAAAACTTAGGATTGTCTTCAAGGAACTTCCTCTCCTTTGGGTTGAAGGTCCTGATGCTTGCTTTGATCTAATTGATGTATAAATGAGGAAGAAAACATCAGTCTGCACAGAAGTAAATTAACCAACACACATATGGTAGAGACGCTTGAAGCAAATTCGACTTACTGGATTAAAGATGACCTCAAGCTCTAACAAAATGATTCCTTTGGATAATCCTCCTAAGTCCTCCTTCTTCAATGGGCAAGAAATCAGCTGATTGTTACGTATCTGTTACAGAGATAAACACTTTTTTTTAAATCTATTATTAAAAACTTTGATCACTTTGATTCATTGTAACTGTCTTACAAACCTCTTTAACTACATGATACGGAGCTGCTATGCTTAGCTGTATATGTATAAATATGACCTAATTTATGGCCACATCCATTCTTCACTTCTTGACAGCTGTGCTCATTTAGCAAGAATGTGTAAACTAAAAGAAATTTCCGCTACTTACTGAGAGTAAAGGAATGGCCACTTTCCCCAGGAAATCCGGGGCCTTGTCTCCATCCTCGTCGAACACTGTAACTTCCAAAACGTCATGGATGTCTTTGACTGGACTAAACACAAAAACAGATCATTATAATCAACTGGTTGGCAAATTGCTGTGGTATAAGAGGAATTAAACACTTTGAGTCATGCTGTTATCAGAAATATAGCTGATTGATCTTATTATGGTTGATTATCTTATTATAACAGCATGCCCTGTAGTTTTTGTTCCTTACTTACACTGCATTAGAAGTCACGCATGTTTGACTCAATGGTGATGTAAGCATGAATGGTGCCACTTACAATGTAAAGACTTTATTCCATTCAGGGTGAAGAGTTTTGTAGACTGTATGAGTCTGCAGTCTGTCATTTCCCAACTCCAACACACAGAACGGATCACTCTTCCCTACAAGTGGAGATATTTAGCATTCAGGACTTGACAGTTGACCAAAGAAAGGGTGTGAGGACTGTATATACCATTTAAATCTGCAGCCATGAGGTCTGAAGCCTTGAGCACTTTGACCTGAAGGAAGCCAATGTCCTTTAAATTCTTCAAGGAGTTCCTGAAGCTCTAAGGAGGAAGTAAATTCAGAGTTCTGAATATATGCTTCTAAAGTATATAAATATACTTCATGGAGTATTTCTCAAGATGTTAATAAAAGGAAAGAAAGTGTTGAGTAGAAACTAACATATTTGTTTATCATGTTTTCTCTCTCATGTGGCTCGTCCAGTAGGGGCGTACACAGGTCAGTAATGGACACGCCGCTGCACCTTGTCAGGGTGACGAGGAAAACCACTTTGCCTCGACTCTGGTCCAAGCTACACGTGAACAACTGGCATTTGTTCACCTTCAACCCAGACACGTCGACTTCACACCTGTACACATCACACACATGTCATAAATAATGCAGTGAGAGTCACAAACTGGTGTTAATGGAAAAATCAAAATTTCTGGGAGAAAAAAGTGCAAAATTTACACAATTTTCCCAATAAACAGCCAAAGACATCTTCGGTGTCCAAAGTTTGCTTCTTTAACTTTGCACTGGAACTACAAGGCTACTGTTTCTAGCAGGTAAAGGAAACTTATAGCTACCGGTTCAGCATTGTGCAAACTACATATCTAAAGTGTCACAAACTTGTCTCATTGTTTAGTCTCTAAAACAGACTTGCGTTATGGGACAAATATTGACAAAAGGACATTAACATAAACTCTTAGAAAAAAACAAAGATTCCATCCTTCATTTTTTAAGGATCTTTGATTGGTTTAAGGGTTCCCCCCTTATCCCTTTATCAGAAAAATCCAAACACATTAAGAAAATCAGAACCCTAATTCTCCAAAGAACCTTTTCGGGACCATTTTAAGAATATAGTTTTAAAAAAGTGGCCATTTTGAAGCCTAAATCAGTTAGGTAACCTAAAGATCTGAAGTTTGTTGATGATGATCCAATTTGATTTCTATTTTAGTAAAAACTTATCAAACAATGTTTGTACAAATGGTATATATAGCCAAACAATGTCCCTGGAGGCAAAGATTTAGATAAACAATTTGCATGAAGCTAAACTGGTAGTAATAAACTTTCCTTACATGATAGCTACATTTGCCTCATAGCTTCGGTACCAAACGTCAGACTCCATATCTGGGAAAATGTGTAAATTTTACCACCAGCTGTTCTTTAGCACATAAGCATTTACAGCACTCACTGTCCATAACATTCCTCGTATCTCCGGCCCTCTTTGGCCCAGACGCTTATCTCCAAAAAGTTTGGCCCATCAATGAACTGGTTGAAGTCGAACCTCTCTCTCCACTGAGGGTTAGCCTTTTTGCACTGACTCTGTGATAATGAGGGGAAAATACACATCAGGGAATCTGAGGGAAGTTTTAGTTTCATTCCTAAGTAAACTGGCTGTTAATTTAGACTTGCCTAAAGACCATGTTTATCTGATCAGATTAGGGTTTAAACTAAACTAGACTAAACAAATTACCATGAGAAAGACGGGAAAACCATGGACTATATCTACAAAAATCAAATTGGAAATGAAGCATTTCTTTATTACCACACAGGGGGACTAGCAATTTAAGAATAGAGAGTTAACTGATCATTAGGGCACACTATGGATAAAAAAACTTGCTGCACAATAAAACAGTTGAATATCATGATGAGATATAAGATGCATTTGTTGTTGTTCCTCTTTTGGCTGGTCACCACAGCAGATCATTGGTCCGCCTATTTGATTTGGCACAGTTTTTAACGCCAGATGCCCTTCCTGACGCAACCCTCCCCAATTTTATCCGGGAGGGTTTTTTGGGGCCGGCACTGAGAGTGCACTGTTCCACGCAACCCCAGTAGCTGGGGTTGGTTCCCTAGCCGGGAATCAAACCCGGGCTGTAGCGGTAAGAGCGCTGCGTCCTAACCACTAGTCTTCCAGGGACCTAGCTATAAGATGCATTTAAGACTTTAATACTAAAGCATCTTAATGTAATTCTCTTCATAATTCAAATAACAGTACTATTGTGCAACATGCAGAATAAATAATTAACAGACTTTACAGCAGAATATTTTAATGTGCTAATGTGCTCTAACTAAGCGTTGCACACGTACTTTTGCAATTTAATCACAGAAAAAAAAGTGCTGTGGAAGAAAAGAGCTGAATATAACATAGCAAAAATACATTTCTGTTTTCATATTTACTCAAGCCAAAACAGCTCTTACAAGTACAGTTCATTTAGTGTCTTATTTAAATGTAACTGAAGCACTACTTCAAACTCGACATGCGATTTAAAATATAAACTATAATAACAACATGTCCTTCAGTGAGTACTGTAATAACCTCTAAATATGATGTCAGGTCATATGAAGAGTGTGAGCCTATAAAAAAATATTTATTACATTTAAAATGTTACAAGAAAGTTAAAGTTAGAAAAGCAAAAGCATCTCTTCTATCCTTCTGTGCTTTCAGTACCTTGCTCTTGTATTTCTGCTCTCCGAGTTTGAAACGAACAAACACGTCTCCAGGTCCATCGTCAGGTAGATTGCGTCCCTCCACCAGCGTGATGCTCAGGACTCCAGACCACAGCTGGCTCTTCTTCAGAGATTCAGCGAGACGTCGGGTCTGCGGGGACGAGCTCGACTGCAACACAACAGCAAAGGTCATGCAATGCACCATCTACTGTAAACAATAAAGAAATTTTAGCTTTTCTCACATTCTAAAACAAATCGGATTGCAGTCTTCTTACCTTCAGACTTCGTTTCCTCTTCTGAACCCACTTCTTTACCACAAGGATAAGCAAAACAAACAGTATAAGTACAATTTCTTTTACAGATTCAAGAGTATCATGGCAGCATGGATAAATGCTAAAACTCAACCACTGAAAACTTATCAAGTTTAGTAGCTTTCATTTCGTTCAGCTTTGGCTCTTACATTGCGTTTGTTTTCTCCGTCTCTGACTGACAGATTAATATCAATGATAATCACACCCATATCATCTTCCAGACTGTTGGGGTCAGCGAGAGGTAGCACCATTTCTATCGTCCTGTGAAAAAAAAAACCACAAAGTGGCATAAATTCGTAGTCTGAATCACGTAGGAGTATGCCAATTGGGTTGTTTTTATTTGCCTACTTCTCAAGTTCCAGTTCACTCAGGAGCACGCTGCTGGAGCCCATGAAGTCATCTGTGGTCAGATCTCGATCATAGACCTAAAGAAAAAATAACAGATATTATTCTAGTGCTGTGGTGGTAGCGGTAGCTCAGTGGTTAAGACATTGACCTAGTGATCAGAAGGTTGTGTGTTCAAATCCCAGCACCACCTAGCTGGCCACTTCTGGGCTCTTAGGCAAGGCCCTTAACCCTCAGCTGGATAAATAAGATAAACGCAAGCCACTCTGGATGAGGGCGTCTGCCAAATGCCATAAATGTAAACAGTTAATAATGCAAAAAAAACCTCAATTCTAATAAACCCATAAGCATACATAAGGGTTTTACAGAATATACCTTGATGTGCAGTTTCTTTTGTAGGTCACGGATGGGGAAGGAGAAAAACTCATTCCAGGTTGGATTGAGATTCTTATACATCACTTTGCTTTTGTACAATGTCTTTCCCTCGAGCTTGAATTTCACGTACGGGTCACTTGTACCTGGAAAACAGGCAGTTAGCACCAATCAAGACTTTCATATAAGAAGCAGTGGTTAGTGGATGAGCTGTAACAGTGACAAGAAGTTCGTAAGTTCAAATCTCAGAACTGCCAAAGTCTCATGAGATGAGCTTTGACCAAAAGTCCTTCCAAAAATGCTACATAAACGACTCCTCACAGAAATCTTCACCATAGTAATAATTACTCACATTTTTTAAATCCGTTTATGTAGAATGTCTACCATATAAGTCACTATGTAAGTTGTTAAAATAGAATTGAAAATGCATTAGAACAAGTGTATTAGAACAAGTGTATTACTCTAAACCTGGGACTTGCCTTGCAGCCAGAACTACTGTCCAAGCTGCCGTTATAGAAAACTAATCAACACCTTCTGATTAATCACAGCAGTGTGGTGTATGCTAGTTTATATTATTTGTTTTACTACAGAGAGAAGCTAAAATGTCTGAGTTCAGAGAAACTTCTCTACTACATGTGCAACCTTCACCAATGCAGAGAAGGATGTGGTCAATACTTCAGATGCAGCATGACTTCAAACCTCATCATTTCCTGAGGTCGCTAGTGTTAAAAACGGTCTATGAGGCAACAATGAATATGAGAGCATATTAATAGCATGTTTAGCACGTTTATAAATAAAATGTACTATTAAAGTCAGAATATAGACACCAGCAATAATATAAATGATAATAAATATAATGACAAATGTATCTAGACAATTTTGAACAGTATTTAGTGACTCTGATATGTGTCAATGAGTATACAAATGTACATTCTAATTTTAAAGCTGAAGCCAAAACATTGCCAGATGTGATGCAATTGAATAAATAATTCAGGTTGTGTTTCATTTGAAATGTTGCTAGTTTTCATTTTCAATGCTGCTTCTGATTCCACCTACCTTTATAACTTTCCTTAAATAGTTTTGAGCACACTAACAGCCATATAAACCACCCAAAACTGAAGCACTTTTAATATTCTAAGTTGACAGATCTATAAATCCTGGATCCGTCCAGTGACAGCGAGCAAATATTTCAACTTGGATTGTTTGCTTCACTTGCTTAAACAAGACTTTCATGTGAAATCAGCTTCCTTTTACAGAGCAAACTAGGCAAGGTAAATAAAAAAGGAAGAATAAACACATAAACCACATCCTATAACCACAACAATTTACATAGAACACATCCAGCATATGTGGGAAAATTTACTATGAGAAAATATGTCACAGGTTTAAAGGGAAACAACTGATGAGAAAGTCATAATGAAAAAGAGAAATAACTGCACTGCAATAACAACCATGCAAGACAAGTAGACCTTGAACTAGGTGGCGCTCTTGTGTGCTGGGACAGAAGGAGAGGGGTGAGGCAACAGTAAGGAGGGTGTGTGTCTACTCTGTGGGTGTGTACTTAGACAGGTTTTGATCTGCTGTGTGGAATGCTGACTATGAGAATTAAGTATGCATTTGCACTTTCTCTAACAATACTGAACTGCCAATCCCACATAGCTCATGGGAAAATTGGCAAATGTATAAGTGTAATCATAAACAGTGTAAAATGAATAAAATATTGATTTTTACCAGTTTACAGATTCAAATTAATTAATATATTAAAAAACCTAACCTCTTGTCTGTTCCCCTTAAGACTACAGATGACAGTAAGCAGCACTCCTGTAAAACTTCCTGTATACTTAAACACCACAGTGACATGCTGATTAACTTAACCTAAGCTTAATATTTAGCAACATCAAACTGCTCTAAAGGAAGTGTTGAAATGATTCACGAGCCACTGAAGAATACAGAGACCATTTAACCTTTTAAAGTACAGAGACCATTTAACCTTTTAAAGAAAAATTCCCACAAGAGTAATGGAAATGCCCTTATGTTTATGATACTTCAATTGATAATTCAGCCTAAATTCGCACTTATGTAGTCAGCCTGTGTAAAAGGTTTACTTATTTAGTTTTGCACAAGAGCCCTGAGGCTAATAAAGCTAACAAGGAAAGTAACGTCACTGCTCCAACCTGCAAACTATTCAGACTTGAGCGATATGTGTGTGGAGAGTAAATATTGAAATCATGCACACTGGTATCCACACCTCAGTAACTACAGACTTATGTGCTACTTGAATAGTTGTTAAACCACAAGCTGATCATGTGGGGCAGAGTCTCATTTACAGACAGCATCTTTGGTAACGCTGGTTATCTTGAGGACCGAATTTAACAGGAATAAAATGATCTACAGCACTTAATTAAAGTGAGCTGTAAGTGCAGCACATGAGTGCTTGGTCAGCTTCTCGTTATCCACACTGAATGGGCAAAAACATTGGCATTATTATCTTCATCTCTGTCAAATCTATCTATCTTCATCATGATTGCATAACCTTGCATAAAATCTTGTAGCGACATAAAAATGTGTTAAATGTGTCGGTGCACGATATGAAACATTAAATTAAATAAACATTTCAGTGCCTTATCCAGTCACTTGCTGCACCTCTTAACAGTAGATACAGTGTTTGTACCCCTCCCTAGGCTTTGCACTTTCTCAAACTGTATTTCTAGTTCACTATGCAAAATATAGGATGTGCAGAATCAAGTGCTATAAGCTGCTGACTAATGATGCTGGAAGCCATATTGTTAAATTAAACCAATCTGCACTGATTAATGTGATAATTACTACTAGGTTTATTCATGCACCAATATTTTGACAATGTATTAGACTCCTATTATATGTTTATTTCAATATTTATTCATGCATTATCATATTAGTCTTTCTTCCGCTTGGTTCTTTTTTTTTTTTTTACTTTCTTCTTTTATGTTTCATCAACTTGCACTTGACAGCAAAGAAACAAAAACATGATTTGTTTCTTCAGTCTGCATTTTCTAACCCCATATTTAAATTTTTTTTTTCTCGCTCAAAGATGACTGTGTGTTTTTAAAGACGGTCCTCTAGATAAGCACTCTCCTTCACTATTGTTTCTGAATCTTACCACAGCGGTCTCTGATGACGAGGCCTCGGCCCTCTTTCAGGTTAATGGAGAGCAGGTAGGATTTCTGAGGATCCTTATGATTCTCACAGACACTCCCACTCTCCCCGGCCATGTCCAGGACCTAAAACCAAAGCAAGATAAACCAAGACTTTTAATATTCATTCTGCAATTATAAAACATTTCATTTACTGTGCTAACTGTCTTATCATTTTATCATTTTGACTAATCAACAGACAATTCAACATCTCTACCCGTCTTTGCTGATCAGCTGTTAGCCTTTCGTATGACTTGGTTAGTGAACAG